TTTTCGATCTCTTCCGAGTTTACGGCCCAGCAGGGCAAGTAGATCAAGTACATCAAGTATACGACGTACTCGATCTAGTATGGATTTGGTCATATCTGCCCTCTCTGAACATATTACCCATCCGAAGTTTTGGCGAGAAATTCGTTCATGGGAGATTTCGACCCCCTGAACACGAATATCACATCCTTCGACGAAAAAACGCTCGTCTGGCCAAATTGCGATTCTGGGCAAAACTTTGAATTGTCGGATGGGTAATGTTCAGAGAGGGCAGATATGACCAAATCCATACTAGATCGAGTACGTCATATACTTGATCTACTTGCCCTGCTGGGCTGTAAACTCGGAAGAATTTGAAAATTAGAGTAAAAGCTCTTATAGGGAGCGATGCAAAAATTTTCGCGCCAACCGGATGCAAACCCGCGAGCGTTTGACTTGAAAGCGAGACCATTACCACAAGGCCACGGTGGCACTGCCGAGACATCGATCAGCAGCGCTTACGAGCCAAAACTGACTTTTCGCAAACTTTGACCACCCAGATCTCGTCTGGGAGCACTTTTAATCTGCATATTCGTAATCAGCATTCGAGGCTCTATCGATGTACCTAGGTCTCCATTCAAAGTTCCATGGGAAGTTCAAACCATTCCCTTGTGAGCACTTATTTCACTTCCTCACTTCGTTCTGCGAGGATAAGCCACTCTTCATAACGGGTGACTTATTTTTCCAGAAAAGCTTTTCATTGGTAAGCTTATCTTACGTGAAATTACAGAGTTTGGTTACATGAGGCAATGACGTAGAGCGGTTCGGAGCAGGGCACATCGTCGCGTTGTGAAACATTTCTGCTAAATACAACCCCCTTCTCCCCAATTCATTCCATCGGTACGCCTCCCTCCACAACCTAGAATCGATTCTGCTGCAGACACTTGGGCGTGTCAGGTGGCTAGATTTCGCGAGGCACCAGTCCGTTCGCACCCTGTTGAAGCTAGCAAGTGGCAAAAACTGGTGTGAGAGGGGCAGTTCTCTGTTAAAGGCATGTGGCACGATAAATCTCTAAGAATAAGACGCCTAGCAGGACAGACTACGGCGCCCCTAAGTAGACCCTGCGTAGCGCCTTTTCCAAGGAAGGAGCGGCTGTAGCGCCTTATCATGTTGCAACATACCGAACCGTGCTCCACATCGCCCGCCCGACCACAAATGTGGGAGCGGTGCTGCTTGCTCGTATCGCTTCATTCTCGAAGTTCGCGCTATCGCCATTTTCCCCACGTGAGTGTCTGGCGACCGCCTGCTCTCTTTTAGAACAATTATATGTGTGAATTCATGAAGTGGCTTGACGCCTTCTAAGTAGTAGTACCCTACTCCCTTCTGCTTTCGTAAGGTTTGTGTGGAGCCTCAAAATAAAAGTAAACACGAGTTTTTGAAGTGACCCCCTTTTTTATAAGTAAATATACTGCTGATTTACGCCGCAGTAACGCGTTGAAGAAATTGTTTGTCTACAAAGAATGGCTGAGTTGTGGGGCAAAAGTCTGCGCCGCAGTACGGTGTCGAACCCGGCAATCAAGCGAATATCTGTTAGTGATAACACGAGTGTATTCTTAGCACGATGCGAGTAAGTTATTGGGCTAACTTGAAACGCGCTAAACAGTGGCCGTGGAGGAACGGTTGGCTCATACCATCATGTAAAGGTAAAGGTCCGAAATTCTAATTATACTCCGAGACCCTGAAAAAGGGCAAAATCGAATCAGCCGTCTCAATCACAGGGGCAGTACCCATGCCGACAAACCACTATCCAGGTCAAAGGGCTAGAAGAACTGTTGCCATGGGGAGTCTAATAGGCTTTCATGTAGCACGTTGTTGTTCTTTTCCCAGGAGAGTCGTTAGGGGTTTTGTCTAAGGCCTCTCATCATCTATGTCGTCCGCATGTCCTTTTTTTATTCCTTCCATTTCCATTACTCTTTGCAAAGTTCATAATCGGCTCGCTTATAGACAAGAAAAAGGGCAATGAAGCCCTGTCATACGGTAGGAGTGCACGAGCAGACGTGAAAAAGGTGTTTTGAAAAGAAAGTGAAGAAGTGTAGTCATAATTTTATATCGAAAGTACTGCAGTGATATGCGCGCAATGTGTGGAGAGAACTGCCCAGGGGCCTATCCTCAGCAGCAGAATGGAGGGCTACCGCACTGAAGGGCTCCCTAGGGAAACAAAAGGAGGGCGCTGTTTGGCGACGGGGGGTTTGCACTTTTGCTACTTCCCATCGACGTGTCGACCCATCTAGACAGCCTCTTCTCGAGTTGACAGGTTTTACCATGATGGCTTGACGAGCTTGCTCCAGCTTCACAAGAGCTTCACAGGTTTCACCAGAGGCTTGTGAACCGGAGCTGGTGTAGCAGCGAGTGTGAAATGCCCTCCCCCCCATCCGTTGCCAAACTGAGCCTAAAATGAAGAAACCTTTTGGGGCAATTTTGCGGATAACAAGGCCAGGCTGCAAGGTGAACGCTCGTACCTCGAACGTAAGTGGATCAATCGAGAGGGGTAAAGGGGTCATACTAAACTAAGGCTCAGATGGTAATAACAAATTAGCAATTCGGTAGTGAAATGGCATAAACACAGGGCTGATATTCCCTTTCAGTAATAGCAAGAGAAAACTTCCATACCTTGCAAGCAAGACGATGTGGACAAAGCTTTCCAAATCCGAGTGGAGGGGAAATTTTTCGAAGCAACGTCACGACATCGAGATGCTTGATGCGACCTAAAATAGCCCCATGAGAGAAATATGCACGAGATTTCTGGCCATTCTTCAGGCTTTTTTATGCAATCCGTGCAGAACCTAGTGTTTACTCGGAATGACAATAATCATGAAACAAAGAGTAATAAATTATTGAGAAGCATTCCGCATGTAGTTCTCCGTTGTGAAGAATGGAAGAGGGGTAGGCGAATCAATAATATTACAAGATTTCCCTCTATACTGAGCACGCCAACTATATGGAAGCAGGGGACCTACTTCTGTCATTTCCATTCTACAGTTTTCTGAAATCTGAAATATAGTAAACACGATTCTTTCGCAGTACTTACGTCAATGAGCACTCAGTGCGGCGGTTGCTATGGATTTTTGCAGGTTTCAGGGCTCAGAAACCAGCGAAATGGGGTGGGATATTAGTGTAAACAAAAGCAAACTAATTGTCGGAAACGCCCTAAATACGAGCCCTGCCTTGTCTGAATCACAAGCACACAGAGACTGATTGTAGAAAGGAGAAGCAAACCATGGTATGGCTAGAAAATATGTTACTAATCGAGATCCAACCGCTATATAGCAGTGCCGAAACGAAATGACTGAGGTGGATCCAGCTCATGGGGGCGGGGCTAGCTTATTGTCAGTTAGCCATTGCGCTTTTATCAAGCACCTCCGAGACACGGAGGTTGGACTTATTCCGATTGCGGAAGGCGATCTCGTGCAAGGTAGAACCTTCTACAGTGCAGTTTATGTGAATTCACATACACTCCTTATCCCTATGTTTTTTTTATAAAGTTTTCTATCAGTGCTCGAGGGAA